TTAATTCTTCATCAGGTTTGAAATGTTCTTCATGAAGGAGTGGATCGGAGTCTGAATGGAAGACACATGTCCAGTGTTAAAGTTTCATGGGTTTTGGCTTAAAATAAGAAGAAGTGCTTGTTAGTCCAAGAGGTTAGTGTTGATAAATGCATTAAACAATGAGATGAAAGCTGCTCTGGTAGGGTTGGGATGTGTTTGCCAGTACAGATAATAATTGTTATTTCTGTTTCCCTGTTGTTTTTAACCAGAACATTGCAAGCTGTTCAGCGTGTCATTAATACTGTCATACAAGGAGTATTTTAGCATTTTTTAAATCTCCAGTGAGAGGGAGAGCAGATAGGAACTGTTTTGCTGTCGTGTCTAAGCCACCAGAAATGCTGAACAGGCTGTTTGATAATCAGGATGTAGACTTATTTTTGAGTCGTTGCATGAAGAATTTTGACAAGTGTGTTTAAGCTCCAAAAATGTGTGAAAAGAGAAAGAGAGAAAAAGATGGGCACGAATTTGCGACAGCCCAAGAAGCTTTAAAGGGAGAAGAAAAGAAATGTGTCCTTCTGAGGTCTCTTTTCTTTTGTTGTCCACTATGAGCTTGGCTCTCAGGTCTCCTCCACAAAGCAGGTCTCCTCCGAGCGGAGCACTGCTGGCTGTCCTGTCACTTCACATTAGTGTCTTTGTAGGGATCGGCAGCCCTGGAGGACCGTGCTTGTCATGAAGAAGTGGGAAGGACACACACACACACACACACACACACACACACACATGCACACACACACACACACACACACACACACACACACACACACACACACACACACACGCACGCACGCACGCACGCACACACACACACACACACACACATGCAATTACAAATATCTGCTGGCAAAATATTTGTAAATACATACCACACACACACACACACACATATGCAATTACAAATATCTGCTGGCAAAATATTTGTAAATACATATTTCGTATTATATTGCCTTTTAATAAGTTAATTTTATTGCTGCTGTTACTGCTTTTATTTAATATTTTTAAACACATATAAACAAAATAGATTTATTGAGATTTTAGAGTTAAATAGTATAAGGGAAGACACTCTTACCATGAGACAAACTATTTTAGTAACACTAGTTTAAAATACACAAATCAGGGGTACCCAATTCTGGTCCTGGAGGTCTAGCATCTAGCACATTTAAATGATTTCTCTGCTCCAACAAACTTGATTCAGTGGTTGAACCACCTGTGCAGCAGCTCTTCAGGCTCTTCAGAAGCCTGTTGATCACATGCTGATTGAAATCAGGTGTGTTGAAGCAGAGTTAAAACTAAAACACGTTGGCCCTCCAGGTCCGGAATTGAGTACCACTGATGTAGATTATAAAGTGCAATGTTTTATTTTAAAGGATTTTACAGGAAGCACAGTTGATGTGTATCTCTTTTTAGCTTTATAAGGCTGTAGTAACGGTTAAACTCCACTAGAGGGCAGAAACCCTTTCTCTTGAATGCCACATATACCAAATACCTAAGAACCGATTTAATGTGTTTAAAAAATGCAAATAATTAAATCAAGTTTACTTAGACAAGAATCAAATAGTAAATAATAAGTAGTAAATAAATCAAATAGTAAATAAAGCTTTAATATTCTAATTTTGGTCCTTTAGAAATTATATTTTCTTCTTTTCTTCTTCTTCTTCTTCTTCTTCTTCTTCTTCTTCTTCTTCTTCTTCTTCTTCTTCTTCTTCTTCTTCTTCTTCTTCTTTAAATTGCATTTGGTTTTATTTTATTTAATTGAGTGGGTAATACATTCATCATGAATTCCAAATAAATTTTTTTCTTGTTCAAAACAAAATGTGTAACTTTTTAAAAACCCTTTTCAGTGTCTATGACTACCATACCATACCATACCACCTTTATTTATAAAGCACATTTATAAACGGCATGGCAGCCAACCAAAGTGCTGTACAGAATAAAAAGTAAAAACACAATATAAAACAATACACAGTCAACAATAAAATGCACAACAAGGCAGATAATCACAGTCAATAAAAAGACACATAATAAAATAATAAAAGTCAGGGATTTAAAAATGCCTGGTCGTAAAAGTGAGCCTTCAGCAGCGATTTGAACCGGAGGAGGGATGGTGCCAGCCTCACTGAAAGAGGAAGAGCATTCCAGAGTGTCAGAGCAGCATAGACAAAAGCACGCTGCCCCCGCGTTTTGTATTTCATTGATGGAACACGAAGCAGCAGGCAATCAGACCTCAACGCCCAGTTTGGCACATACAAAGTGACAAGATCCGACAGGTAATCCGGAGCCAGATCGTTCAGGGCCTTAAAAACAAAAGTCAGGATTTTAAACTTGACTCTAAAGTTCACGGGTAGCCAGTGGAGCTGTGCCAGTACAGGTGTGATATGGTATCTACTAGGGGTGTTTGTTAAAAACCTGGCTGCCGCATTCTGTACGACCTGAAGCCTGTTGAGAGTGGAGGCAGGTAAGCCAATTAAAATGGAATTTTCATAATCCAGTCGGGAGATGATAAAAGCATGAATTACAGATTCCAGGTGTGCTCGTTTCAGGATCGGTTTTAAGCGGACTAGTCTGCACAGCTGATAAAAACACGATCTGACCACTGCGTTAATCTGAGGGCCCATGGAAAAGTGTGTATCCAGTTTCACCCCCAGGTTGGTAACACACTGCTTGAGGTCAAAAGGGAGAGTGGCCAAATCAGAAGATACGTGTGTGGTTTTGTTAGGCGTCAGGAGTGCCTCAGACTTAGAATCATTTAGCTTAAGGAAATTGTTGGCAAGCCAATCCCTCACTTCAGCCAAACATTGGTCCAGAAGAGAGAGGGAGCCTGGTTTGTTCAAAGCCAGGTAGATCTGGCAATCATCTGCATAAATATGATAGCCCAGGCCATATTTCCTCAGGATGAAACCCAGGGGTAGGATGTAAATTGAAAACAGGAGAGGCCCAAGCACAGATCCCTGCGGGACTCCACATGGAAGTGGAAGGAACAATTACCCAACTGAACCTTGAAAACTCTGTTTGACAGATATGAGCAGAACCACTGAAGTGAGGTACCCCTTAGCCCTACCCATGACTCAAGTCTATCCAGCAAAATATCGTGGTCAACGGAATCAAATGCTACAGAAAGATCTAATAGTAAGAGCAAAACAGGCGACCCAGAGTCAGAAGCCACCAGGATGTCATTGGTCACGCGAAGAAGGGCTGATTCGGTACTGTGAAGTGGCCTAAACCCAGACTGGAACACATCAGCCAGAGAAAAGCTATTCATGTGTGCCGTAATCTGTGAATAGACAATCTTTTCAAGGACCTTAGACAAAAACGGTAATTTGGAGATTGGCCAAAAGTTTGCGAAGTTTGAGCTGTCTAAACCTGTTTTTTTTTATTGGTTGCACAACCGCCTTTTTAAAAGAAGTAGGAAACACCCCAGTGGCCAAGCTAGAGTTAAAAATGTCTAAAATTGTGGGGCCCAAAATAGGGATGATGACACCCACCATCCTAAGGGGGCAGAGGGTCCTCAGGAGAACCTGCTGGTTTTATATTTCCAATCAGATCTGACAATTCACTAAGAGATATGGGAGTAAAGTTACAGAATGAGGGAGGTGCTGGTGGTACATCAGGACAGCCAGATCCTGGTTGCACAAGACTATCCCTAATGTCCCGGACTTTGTTAAGAAAGAAGACTGTCTTTCTGTGTTCGGATATTTTAATATTTCAGAAGTTTAATAAAAGCAATACAAAGCTGCTGGCAAACTTTATTGATTGTATTGAGAGAAAAATCCGTTTTGTCTGCAGGAGTTGCGATTTAGCTATATTTCTGCTAGAGGGCATCATCTGATATGGTTGTAACAATGTTTGAAACTGAAGTATCATGTTTTATTTTGAAGGATTTAACACGAAGTACACTTGAGTTGGATCTGCTTAGCTCTTTGAGGCTGTAGTAACAGTATCAGTATTAGTAACAATTCCTTTCTCTCAAATGCAAGATTTAATGTGTTTCCATCCAGCCGACCTAAATCAGTGATCACTGAGTCTCAACCTATCAGAAAGGCAGAGGGTTCCCTTCATCTTAAAAGTTTAAGGTAATAAAAAAAATCTGTCTCTCGATCAGTAACATTTTTGAGGGTAAATATCAACCCTGGTCATTCTTTTTGATCCAGAATCCCACAGAAACTGATGATTTAGGCAAAATTTTTGAAAAAAAAAATAAAAAATAGTACATCAAGGTATAACACCACGAAGGTGAGAGTTTAATTAAATAAATCATAAAGGGATTAGAGGCAGGAAAGACTACCCAGAGTTAGTTCTTTTTAATATGTAGTGTGTGTGTGTGTGTGTGTGTGTGTGTGTGTGTGTGTGTGTGTGTGTGTGTGCGTGCGTGTGCGTGTGCGTGTGTGTGTGTGATGAAATTATATGTGAAGTGTTCCCCCACTCAGCCCGCCTATGCCTAAAATATTTATCAGGCCCGTGAGGGCAGAGGTGCGACCTGCCTCCCTGCTCTCAGAAGAGGATGATGATGAAGAGGAGGAGGAAGCTGAGTGAGAAGGAGAGGCATGGAGTCAGATTTTTTGTTAATATAAAGTTGTTGTGTTTATAAGAACTTCATTACATTTAAATAAACATCCCATTCGGCCATTTATTAATGTAAATGTATGAAATTTGAGTTATCCTCTACAGCTGTCGGGAGGATTATTAGAGCCTGAGAATGTTCATAAAACAAGTCGTTGCCGATTTATTTACAGCCACCAGATGGCGTCATTTCTCCATCTTTAGGATTGCAGTTGGAAAACCTGAAACCCGCATCGGACAGGAACAATATCAATACTTAAAATTAATCTTTAGATATTATCCAGATTGTTTACATCACTGTTTGACATGAAAAAAAGTGTATTTCAAATGATAAAAACACGTTTTAATTCATGTTTTCTTCCTGGTGACTCCCCCCGCCCCTCTTCCTCCTCCTCCCCCTCTGCACCGGCTCGCTCCCATCCAGCCAGTCCCCTCATGTGCGTCCGGTCGGCCTGTTGGAGGTAGACCCGTGTGCTGACCAGCCAGGGTTAAAGCTAAAGGAGCAGCAGGAGGAGGATGGACAGAGTCGGACCTTGCGTCAGAACTGAGTCTGGTCGGTGCCTCTGAGAGCTCCTCTCGAGTCCTGGTCCATCAGGGTGATCCGCGGACACACAATGGGCTGCTGCAGCGGACGGTGCACGCTCATCTTTATCTGCACTTTACAGCTGGTGAGTCTTTGTGTTTGTTTTTTTCAATAAGTTAGATAAAAAACTTGAACGTTGCAGCAGAATCACCAATATCTGGTCTAGGCGATGGAGGAGAAGTTGTCCAACTAAGTGTTGGACATTAAAAAAACATCTTTTCAATGTTTTCAACTGCCATTCTTTCTCTGCATATGATGAGAAGTCCTACAGTTGAATTTTAGATTCCATGTTTTATTATTGTGTAAATTAGATGTTTTCCTGTAAAGGTCCAGCATCACCTGCAGCCAACACTTCCTCTCTGCTGTGGCAGACACTTGGTAGATGCCTTATTAACAGGATAAAAGCCAAAACACCCATCATTTCTGCAGCTTCTCAGAGCGTTTCTGGTTCTGGTGCTCTGTGACATTTATACTCTTCAGTGATGCTTTCCACTGAGTTACAGGACAGCTTTCCGTTGACTCAGTCCTGCAGCAGAGTGCACTTGGCAGAGTGTGAAAATGTTATTTATGATGGTATTAGGACAGAGCTTGCTCACACCATCAGCCCCCAAGTAAATGCCACTTTAAACAGCCAAGGGAGCAATAAAAATAAAAAGTTTTGATTAATCAGAAATAAGAGAAGTCAAGTCAAACCAAGCATTAAAGTTAACAACAAGAATGCATAAATATTTTCTTTTAGCAGAATTAATTATGTTGCTTGTGATGAACTAGTAACCTGTCCGGGGTTCCACTTTAACAGGATGAATGAATGAATGAATGAATGAACGAACGAGTGAATGAATGAATAACAGTGTGGAAACAAGAGCTAAACTTCCCTCCATGTGCTCTTTCATTTTTTAAAGCCAACATTTCAAAAATTGCTATAAAAAACACCTAGATTCTTCTGCTTTGCTCTAAGTACATAACATTAAGATGTATCCTGAATTTTATTCTCCTTTCTTGTTCAAATCAAATCTATCTGTATCCATCAAAACTTTGTTTGGTAATTGAATGATTTAGCATAAACCAGGACTGCAAAAACGCAGGTATGACTGTGATATTTGAATGGAAACCTCTCTGTTGTTGCAGTCTGAGCTTTTTGGCTACAATCTGGGTTCTGCTCTGTTAGAAACCATCAAAATGCACGTAAACCAGATTATGGTAGCCTGTGATTTGTTGCAGTGCTTTTGTATATTGATATTAAATAAAGCAATGAGTATATTGATATATTACATTGTAAACAAACCAATTAAAAAGTGTAGAGTCTTAAATCTTCATAAATCTGTGATGAGATTTTTCAGTGAATTTGTTGAAAATAGCCCCTTTCACACTTTTTACCATTTGGAATATTTCACGCTGGGGTTTTATTTTGTGAGCTCATTTGTTATTTAGGTTTACGTTCACATTTCGATTTATTTAGTCATTTGCTCAATAATTTGTGTCAAATTAGAAATGCTCTGATTCTGGTTTTGAGGACCGATACAATTTCGGATTCTCGAGCAGCTTTGTCCTGATTATGGTACTTTTGGGTGACAAATTGGGGAAAAAAATTATCATAAAAAATATTTTATTTAAAGATTGTGAAGTAAAAGCTTCCACTTAAAATGTAAATGAACAATTAATAATAGTGAGTTTACAAACTAGTGATCATAATCTCAGATTTTTATAGTTGCTTCACAAAACCCAAGTTACACAAAAATCAGACTTTGTGCTTTGTTTCAGTTGATTATTAGTTATGTTGGCTGTCTTTGAACACCAATTAATGTTTGACAAATCTCTACTTCAAAATTTAAAGGGATACTTTGCAAAATCCTTGTCGTGAGCCAGTATGCTAAAATGACCCTTTACAGGTTTAATGAAATATCAGTCAGACCCCCACTACCTTCTGTGGCCAGAATATTGCACTTGCAACGTCAGAGTGCCGGTCCAGTCTGTTGCACTAAGAAGAGAATTAAGCTTACATACCTGGTGCTGCAGTCTTCTACCAGCATGTTTCCTGCAGGTTTTAAATCATGAATACAGCTGATTTGTGTATTTAGTGATGAATCGCTCCTGCAGACTCTAGTGAAGGCTGGGGAGACATTTCAGCTGTTAGATTAAGGTGTTAAAAAGAGGAACACACATGGCGGAGAAAAGTTTTGCTTTCGGTTCTACTAAATGGACACTTGGTGCTCAAAGCAAGCCAAAACTGCCTAGTCTTCCTTTAAAAAACCCTCAGTCATAAGCTGTCCCATCACACACCCTCTACATTTACTGCTTTTTGATTGTCATGTCTTTAACTTTTTCCCCACAGCAATTATCCAAAATATGGTTGCAAGAACAAAGAAATAATTTAATGGATTTAATCAAATACATTTTATTACAGACAGGCACGTACCAGCAGATGTAGTGGTTAAAATTGCTGTGCGTTTCCGCTTATTAAATGATGAATTTATGACTTGATCGAGTGAAATAAACTGGAAACTCATAAATAATCTCATTCAGCTCAGATATCAAACTCCAAACATCCCTATATTTTATTTGCATCAATTTAAAAACCAAAACTGGCAAAGGTGACACGACCTAATGGAGGACTTATGGTATCAGATCATCATGTTCCAGAAACAGGTTTAAGAAAAGTTGAGTTTCATGCCGAATTGTCTCCACCCTCTCCACTGAAACACTTACAGACACGGCGGGTCGTGAACCCACCTTCAGCCACTCCTGTTTTTGTCTTTGCTGCCTTCAGATCTCTTTGCTTCATTAGAAGGAAGGAGGTCATCCATTTGTTACAGGGTTTATAAAGCTGTCAGCGTGTTGATTTAAAGGTCCCAGAAGACTCCCTCACTGTTCTTTGGATGACCTTACACTTCCTGTCTGGCGCAACACTTGCTCACACACGCCTATTGATGAGTTTAACCTGCAGATAGCTGCATTATGCTGTTCATGACCTTTTGAAGGGTCACATGTTTATGTTGCATCCACATAGATTTGCATACATGTAAGAGCAGCACCAGGGACCCCCACTCTCCCATTGCTTAATCATATGCACAGACAATGAGCCAGGCTATTCTCTGTTCACTACAGAGTAAAAGTAACCATTAACAAAACAACATACTCTACTCAGATGTAAAAATAGCTACAGCAAACCACTGTTTGTGCTAATTAGCTCTACGGAGCGCTTTGGTCAAACCTCTTTTGGCATCTTGGCCATCCCCTAATTGAATCGTGGTGTGCTCTGCTCATCAACAAGCTGAGCGGTGGGACTCCTCTCTCTGGGACAGAAGGCAACAGATAATGAGCTTGTATTGATCGAGATGCCTCAGTTCCCCTTTTCCTTTACAGCTTAACTCTTGCAGACAGTAGGGCTGGATGGTTGTCAGAACCCCAATCAGCCCCAGAGAGTAGCAAGTGTTGGCTGGAAACCCTGTCTCTGTAATGATTTGTTTGGACTCTGAGACACAGGCAAGCTCATTTTTGTCTCCACGGGCTGGTCGTTTGAGGTGTTGACCTGACGCTGACCTGGAGTGGAGGTGCTTCCATTGGTCAAATGCAGGAAAGGGGTGGATGTCAGCAACGGGCCATGACGAGGATGTAGTCCTTAATGGTGCTGATCGTTACTATGGCTCTATGGACATAAGCTGAGAGATGAGGAAGACACACACACACACACCTATGCATGCATGCACGTGCACACAGTCTATGCTGTAAATTATAGGTTAGTAAATCTATCACTGAGTGGGGCTCTGCAAAAACATGAAAGAAACAAGAGAGAGCCAAAAGGAGTTTCATTTGAAAGCTGGTGAAGAAAAAAAATAATGAGTCCACATGGCTGCAGAAATGTTCCTGTGAGGACTTTTTAGTGTGAATTTTGAAGTACCACAATAGAAAAGAGGTTGATTGAAGAACTTTGGGAAACGTTTTTTTTTAATTTTACAAGAAAAAAAGGTTTTATTCCTTTACCTTTTTTGTAAATCTTTATTGAGTTTAAGGAAGTTGTGCCTTTCAGTAAATCTACCATGTTTTCTGTCACAATGAAGCTAAATGAAAACGTGAAATCATAAACAATTAAGACCCATCTCCTGCTGCCTTCCATTCCATAGTTTCACAGATCAAAATGACAGAGTTTTAGAAGAAATAACGTTTTTCGCCATCTCACAAGATACTGCAACATCTCATGCAGTTAGATGACTAACAAGTGTGTGTTGGCGACGACTCAGCTACAACAGCACCAAATTTTAGGTCAGTATCTACAGAACTGACAGTGTTGAGGATATTGTTGTGTTCTCCAAGAAAACCTAATAATTAATCCATATTATCACATTCTAATCCCATCAAACAGCATCATTTATTCAGTTCCAAACAGATAATGAATTAGTGTCTAATCTGTATATTCTAGAAACATTTCCAGATGAAGCATCAATTTTTTGACAAATTAGAAGAGCCTGACTTAATTAGTGCTCAAATGGATCAAAGAGATTTAAATTGGTTGACCCATTTCTCAGCCACAGATCTTTCTCTCCATCCACCTTAAACGACGATGTGCAGGTGATCTGGTCTGATATGACTGGGATTTACAAACGACTGACAGTAAAACCGAAATGTCTCATGATTCTACACTGGCCCTTTTAAAGCATCATTTCATCTCCTACACATTACTGGAAAAATAAACAGCATGGCAGCAAATCGCTGACCTCAGAGCCGCAGATCTGGGTGATAGGGTTACGGCCGCTGTGTAATTCTATTGTTAGTCACCAGTTCCCAGTTGGAATGATGCATTGTGACAGTGATGAAAGAATATACATGATAACTGCCTATGGTTTTAAGGGATGCTGGGTCAGAGCATTTTGTTTGAGTGTTTAGTGGAGTGTGTCTGCAGCTTCTTTAGTGTGTGAATGTGGAGAGTGGAGCGGTCATTGAAGAAGAACTGGGACACTGCCAGCTTTATGGAGGAGAATAGATGGTCACTTCTCTTTTGTTCTTTGTCTTTGTCTCTCTGAGCCTTCACTTAACATCTCATGAAGCTTATCAGAACCATCACTATATGATGACCAAGAAAGAAACTAC